CGATTTCGCGCCAATTTGGCGATTTTTTTTAGATATTTTTTCCAATTATAAAAATATACAAAACTTTGTTTTCCTATAATAATTTTACAGAAGAGGCTAATGAACTGCGTGATAAACTTAAGAAGCATATTAAAAGACTGTCAATTAAAAGGAGTCAATTAAATACTTTTAAAAAAGCCTTGATTTTGTCACCATAAAAGTGTGTGAATCACAAGAGGGCTAGTTTCAGCGACCTGCCAATTCACTATTTGACTTTGAAGGAAAGAAAAGCAGCAGAAACTGAATATTTAAATCTTTTCACTTTCCCATGGAATAACTTTTCTCAGAACCACTCCATCCGACTCTAAAGAATTTTGGATAATTGCTTACGGAGTGAAAACCGCAAAAGGCAGTAAAATGTTTGGAAATATAAGTAAATTCATATTATTATCCTTGCCGCACTGACATGCTTTGTTGAGCGCGTTTTTTCCGTAAATGAATTCAATTCGAAATAGCAAGAGGGTGAAAGCCTTAATTCGAATGTTCGAATAAAGTGTCATATGAAGGCTAATAGTTTCTGCTGCAAAACGTTTCCAATATTAAACAGTATGTTATCAAGTTTGAATAGCTCAATATATGACAACAGAAATGTTAATTCAGACACCAGAGGTGATTTTCAAAAATTTGTGGAAATAGCTGATCCCGCCTTATAGGTTTTTATTTAATTTTTAGCACCGAGCTCTTAACCTATAACCCTCCTTGCGACGTGTGCTGCATGAAAGATTCGATTTGTATGGGAGGTGCCACGCCTCCTTTTCAAATAACCCGAATTTTTCTTTATGAGAACTCCGTACCAAGCTCTAATATTCTACCATGAACACTTCCAGAGAATTGCAGTATGAAAAATTCGGTTTGTAAAGGAGGTGCCACGGCCCCTTTTCCAATAGCTCCAATTTTCCTACAAGAGCATGCGATTGATTTCCTATACTGCAATACCAAGTTCCAGTATTCTACCATGAACACTTTCTGATATATGCAGTATGAAAATTCGGTTTGTATGGGAGGTGCCACGCCCCGTTTTCCAATAGCTCCAATTTTGCTCCAAGAGTATGCGATTGATTTCGTATATCTCCACACCAAGTTCCAGAGCTCTACCATGAACACTTCCAGAGATATGCAGTATAAAAAATTCCGTTTGTATGGGAGGTGCCACTTCGCCTATATATATGGATTTTTTTTAATCTATAACCATCCTTGCCATGTGTGCTGCAAGTGTCCGAAGTTTAAAAAAAAATCGGTTCAGCCGTTCTCGAGCTTTGCGAACACAAAAAAACGGCTTTCAAAATATATATTAGTATAAATTATTTTATTAATTAAAGCTTAATATGCATTTATTTCACCTTTAACCACTTTTACCATGCACGTAGTGGTGGTCCCAAGCTGTTCAGTTCAACTACAAATTCCTTTAGCCAAGTCCTGATTGTCCTGCATCAGCTGGACCAGCCGCCCAAGTTGCTTTTTATTGCTAACCAATTTTGATCTGCAATTCACGCACATATGTATACTAAATTTTTTTACAGCTTTCGATCCAAATGACTTACTTTTTATCCATTATTTATTTATTTATATCACCACAATTTTGTTCATGCAAACTCTATCGACTCAAAAACAGCAGTAGAAGGATAAGCGATTAATCGACACTCACAATAGAATCGATAATGATAATCGCTTAGTAGTCGTTTATCTTCTTCTAGTTGATACTCGCAATAGGCTATCACAATCCGTTGAAAACTGTCCAATTCTTGACCGGTGTTTTGACCTCAAATCGCGGATTTTCAATTTTTTGATCATAACTTAGGATTGTGGGGATATATTTGAGATTCTGCTAATACCAGAATTGTTTTTAGACTTGTTTTACCCCCTCCACTACATAACATAAAAAGTACATGCAGCCTTTTTCTGTTTGTAGCACCGTGTTATTTTGCTTGCTACTTCTGTCATTGCTGGAGCCACTAATGCGACAAAACATTTGTATATCATCAATTACATTAGTCACAGGCCCTTATTATGAGTTGCAATCGATTTTCGATCTTCGCTGGTTATCGAAGATCGAAAGTGAAATTCGTATTATGAGCTATGCAACCGTGTCGAAACTTTCGTTGAGTATCGAATTTTCTGTCGAAGAGAATTTTGCTTTCGATTGTGTAGCGAGGTGTTAGAAAATTGTGAAACATGTATGATTTCGCATTTGTTTTCTTACTTTTTGGGGGCAAGACACTCATTTTAAACAATTTTTATTAATTTTATGCAGTTTTAACGTCGTGAATACTAAACACAAGCTCGAAAAGCTGGTTTTACTTATGAAAGAAAATTCCAATACTCTGCTGGCACGATCTCTGAGAACAAAATCACAGAGCTGTTTATAGGTTCAATATATTTTAAATAGATTTGGATAACAAAATTTCTTAAATATATTGTATGTAAAAATATATTCGAAAGACTACACTTAAACTCTCTTAAAACGTTTTCTGGTCCTGGCCAGTTTTCTAAGCTTTCGTCCTCTGACGAATCGATGAACTAGAACTTCTTTGTACTCATTTTTACGTTTTTATAAACTCACTTTCCTTTTTATTTAGTTTTAATTTGCACAAATTTACACATATACATATGTATAACCACGCCATTTAGTTTTCTCGATTTGTAAACAAAGCTTGTTAGCGGTGAAAAATATACTATTGTGAACAACCTAAACGAGCGAAATTCACAATAGCGCTGTTTTTCATCGAATGAGCGCCATAACACCAAATGAAAATTCGTTCGATCAGCACTTTCGACCACAGTCGAAGATCGAATGCAACTCATAATTTATGAAAAATGTTTATCCCTCACTTCTGAAGTACAAGTTCACTAATTATATCATATGATCGAACCATTGATTGATATCCCGGATTTCTAATCCGCATTCCACTTTGACTTGCAGCACGCCAGACATTGCTCTGCTGTGCCAACTGACGCCAATTGGAAATGCCAACTGAAGCCAAGTCCTTCTCCACCTGGTCTTTCCAACGCAGAGGAGGCCTTCCGTTTCCTCTGTTACCAGCATCGCGGTCCGCGTTGAATATTTTCAGAGCAGGAACGTTTCGGTTCATTCTAAGCCAAGCCAGCGGAGCCGCTGAATTTTAATTCGCTGCCCTATGTCTATATCGTTGTAAAGCTAACCGTTAAATCGTTTGCGGTATTCGCCATCGCCAAAGCGTAAAGGTCCGTAAATCTTTCGCAGAATCTTTCTCTCGAAAACTTCAAGAGCCGCTTCATCATATGCTTTCATTGTCCATGCCTCCACTCCATACACCAGCACAGACATGATGAGTAACTCATAGTGTGATCTTTGTACGGCGAGAGGACTTTCCTTCTAAATCGCCCACTCAGTCCAAAGTAGCACTTGTTGGCAAGGCCGACATTATTATTGGTGTTAATGCTGGTTTCCAAATAAACGAAGTCGCCTAATTTTTAAAATTTGTAACTGTCGACAGTGACGTGTGTGCCAATACGCGTATACTCTGACTGTTTGTGTTACGATAGGAGATACTCCGTTTTGTCCTCGTTCACCACCAGACCCATTCGCTTTGCTTCTCTATCTTAGCCCGAGAAGGCAGAACAGACCCTTGCTTTTACCGATATCGATGTCGTCGGCATATGCCAGCAATTGTACGCTCTTGTAAAGTATTGTTCCTGAGCGATTCAGTTCTGTGGCTCTTATTATCTTCTCCAACATCAGCTTAAAGAAATCAAACGAAAGAGAGTCACCTTGTCTGAAACCTCGTTTGGTATCAAACGGTTCGGAAAGGCCCTTACCTATTCTGACAGAGCTGATGTTATTGCTCAGCTTCATTTTACACAGCCGTATTAGTTTCATGGGGATACCTAATTCAGACATCGTTTAGTTTGCCCGATTTGTAAACAAAGCTTCTAAGCGTTGAAAAATATACTATTGTGAACAACCTAAACGAGTGAAATTCAAACTAGCGCTGTTCTTCATCGAGTGAGCGCCATAATACCAAATTCCTTCGATCAGCACTTTCGACCACAGTCGAAGATCGAATGGAACTCATAATAGGGGCCATTATGATAAAATCACTACCACAAGCTACCAGCTCCTCTGGGATTTCCTCCGATTGAACTATTGCATTGTTGTGTCCGATTTCTTGACCTGATGGGTCGGAACAAATATCATACCTTAAGAAACTTGCTACCCCTTTCTCCGGCGGCGTGAGAAGTTGCACGATTTTCTGTCCCTCAAAATCTGTCCAAACCAAAATAAATTTTTGTTTATTGAAACTTTTTGGTCCAACATTTTCACCAACAATTCACGTCTAAGATTTTTTTCATTTGCCGCTTTAAATAACTTAACAAAAGTAGTATTTCCGCGAAGAACTTCTTGAAATTCTCCAATTGTGCAGCATTGCTCGGTTAATCGCAAAACGAATTAAATTTGAATCACTTTTTCCTCTTCACTACCTGGCGGCAGCAATGATCCAGTTCTATAGTAAATCCGTCCTAGAGGCTTTACAGTATAGTTGATGGCAATTTAAAAATGGCTGCGTATCATTGTTCTTCAAAAATTCAATATAATAATAATAATAGATTGACGCTTACACATATGTTAGTGTTTGGCTGAGCTTCTCCTCCGATTTGTGGCCTGCGTCTTGATGTTGTCATAAAAGTGGAGGGACCTACAGTTTTACGCCGACTCCGAACGTCGATTGTATTTTTTGCGAAGCTGTGTTTTATGGCAGAAATACACTCGGAGGTTTGCCATTGCCTGCCGGGGTGTGACCGCTGTAACGAAAAAACTTTATTTTTTATTTTTTTTGCGATGTTGCTTTGTCCAGGGCTTGAACCCAGGCGCTGCGGAGTAGAAGCGCGCACTGCTTACCACTACACCACAGCGGCCGCAATGCAATATACATACACTTATTTCAGACGAAATACCTTAAAAGCTTAAACACATAATACAATTGGAAAATCACATCCATTGGGCCAATCGTAACACAGGAGAGTTCGATATGCTTGATGGTGCAACAGGTCGATTTAATCTGACATTCACGAAACCTTTTCTCACTTGGCGGTTTTTAGTAATAACTCAACTCCAGCGCCACCTGGCAGCACTTGTTTGCAATAGTATTGCTCTTGCCGTTACAAATACATATTTTAAATATTAGCCAAATCGGATCATAAATAAGATTTTTCGTAATAACTGGCGGGTTAAATTTAGAAACTAAACCATCCAGAGACCCACTCAAACACACACAAAAAATGTCGTTAAAATCCGGACTCCCATTTAGGAGGATTCCATCCACAAACACAACTACAGAAGAATTATAAATACATTCAAAGAGAGCTAAAAGTTGGTAAGTTAGTGGGCCCCAGAGTGTCCAGATTAGCCGATTTCGCGCCAATTTGGCGATTTTTTTTAGATATTTTTTCCAATT